TTGGCCCTTTGTCCCACAGCACTCCCTCATTAAAAACGTCAAATGCCTTTTCGTTTTCCTTTTCTTTTTGCTGTTCACATACAAATACATTGCAAATTTACTTCTAATGGTTAATAATGTGGCTTCGGTCATGTTTTCTTAATTTTCTCGTTTTTGTTTTTCGTGTTTTGTATATCAAGTTACAGTTGTTCGTGAGCTTGACTTTAGTTTATATAGATTTATGTGTGACGTTACTTTTGTGCTTAAGGATCGAATTTTAATGGATATTTGAATATATGTGTGCATATGTATGTAACGCAAGCTAGTTAAAATATGTTTACGCTTATTATGTAATATTAAAGAAGCGCAACGTGGTTTGAAAGAATGGCGTCCCGACAAATGGAGACCTTTTGGGACGTCGTCACGTTGCGTTGCTCAAGCCTTAAGACACCAGCTTTAAAAAGTTGTGAAAACGGAGAGGGATGTTGGCGCGATTGACTTGGGGGTCGTTTACTCTAGCAGGGTTACTTCTTCCTTGACTAAAAATTCAACAACTTCCTCATCAACTTCATCCGTTTCCAAATTATCCGTATCCACATCTGTAAAATAGAAACAATTAAAATACAAATATAATTGATTGTGGTCTAAGTTTCAACTTACGCCCTCGGAGCATGATGCGACGGCTCTTTTGATCCTTCCACTCTGCGATGCGTTTGTTGCGGTACTCCATGAAGGTCTCGCGCAGCTGGGCGCGCTTCTCGAGCAACTCCTTGGAGGCACGGGTCAGGCGCAGACGATCCTTCTGTTCGAATATGGGATAATATTTCTTCAAATTTTTCTTGATCTCCTTCTGCTTCTCTTCGCTCAGTAGCGTCGGTGGTCGCGGGCGCCAAAGGAACTGCACAAAGTTCTTCAAAATGGTGCGCCTGATGATGCGACCCTGGAAGGTATACATATTAAAGCCGGTATCCTCTTTCACCTTCCACGATGAGACGCCAGTGACGACATAACGACCAGTTGGATCCCATTCCACCTCCGATGCACGGAAGTGATCCGGCGATGCGCTGATAATGTAGTCATTCGTGGTATCAACGAACTCAAAAGTGCCCATGGTAAGATTAGCCATGACGATGAATTGACCACGTGGCGACCAGAACAGATGAGTGCAGGACTTCTTCTCCAGCCGCTTCACCAGGCTGGGCTTGACACCCTTATTCACCTCGTAGAAGCTAACATTGGAGGAGTTGGGCTCGCCGTGTATAATGGAAAACTTGTTACCAATTGGCTCCCATGCAAAAGCAAGTATCAGCTCACGTATCTCCACCGAATCCACGGGTATTTCCTTTTCGCGCATGTGGAATATTTCAAAATTGTAGAACATGCCCAGAAACTTGACGTCCAGCTCCTTTTTATCCTTCTTTAGCTTGGAGTAGCGATCGACCTTAACACACAGATAATCGCCAGACTTTTGCCAATGAAGCTTACAGTCGGCCACATGGAAAAGATTCTTGTTGCGAATCTCCCGCTTCTTGGGGATCTCCATCAGGGTGACACGTGCGGGTATTTGATTCTGCTCCTCCACCCAGTAAGCGATGACATTGTCCGTGGGCGACCACGAGAAGCCGCGTATGCCCGCTATCTTGATGGACTTCAAGTCAAGCAAATAAAATGATGGCGTCTCGTAGATGTGAATCGAATTCTCGCCCATGCGTGCCACAAATTTGTCATCGTGCGACCAGCGGAACATTGACAACACAGACATGCCATCGCCCACAAACGAACGCTTCTCAGCCCCAGTGCGTATATCCCAAATGATGATCTTTTGACCCGTTGGTGTTGGGCCATAGGTAACCAAATAATTCTCACATGGCGAGAATTCGACGAATTGGGTGCCAGGATGGGGAAACTTTTGAATTTTCTGGAAGCTGCTGCCACCCCAAATGGCGACTCCGGGTTTGTGGAAGGTCACCACATAGGTACCCAGAGGCGACCACTTCACAAACGTGTCCGTAAAACGTTCACGTGTCTCCAGCTCATTGGGTTCGGGGAGAGTGTTCTGCCAGAAGCCAACCTGCACGCAATTTGGTGCTGTCTCAGCCGCTACGCAGTACTGATCGTAGGCATCGGGATCGTTTATAAAATTATACAGATCACTCTGTACCTTAAAGGGTTGTACAGTTGGCGGCTCCCACTTCTCCGGTATATTCTCATACCTATAAAGTAAATTTTGTTATACCTTTTGTTTTTAATTACCTATTCGACAACTTACTTCTGGAAGTCTGTAAACAAATTTACGGCAAAAGTGTAATTCTTGTCCAGGCGATGGTTGTTTAGTTTCTTGACTGCATCCTCGGCCTGACTGGCGGTCTTGAATTCCATGAATGCATAGCCTTTGGTCTTGCCCTCCTCATCCACCGGATAGACAACGTTAACGATTTCACCGCACTGCGAGAACAGCTTGTTGATAACCGATTTGAGTTTTTCGAGGCGGCTTGGCTCCACTTTCGGCATATTATCCACTACAACGACACTTTCAACGCCGTCGGCTTCGGATGGGCGTTGGGCCAGCATATCTCCCAATAAATCTGCCATTTAATGAACATTATTGCATTTCTCATAGAAAATATTGCACTCTTTGAGGTTATGTTTGTCATTTCTTTTTGCAATTGTCGGCGATGGCTTGTAGCGCGTGTGCTGCGCTGGCAACAATCAAACTTACCTTCATCGCTAATGTTGTCTACGAAACCGGGCGGATCATCGAAATTGGGTTCCTCATTGTAGTCGCTGTCGTTTGCGTCCGCACCCGAATGCTCTTCACTTTTCTTTTTAGCCATTTTCAGCGTTTTATTTGCAAATTATATACGGCAGCCGATTTCCCGCAGTCATCAAACACACACACGCACATAAAAAAGGAAATGTTAATGATAGATATGAGCGATAGTTACTTACCTGCTACTTGTAACAAGTATAACATTGTATCGATAAATTTGTGTACATTGTTACAAAATAACATCGAAAACAATAACAGTTACTTAATCGAAACCAAAAATCATCTTTCAAACAATTGAGAAAACACTGAAATCCTACAAGTAAATTATAAATTATATTGTGAGCGCCAAAC